CATTACTCCTGACAGAACATGTCTCACTCACAGCCTGGCACATGATAAATGTGTTCCAGGTAACTCATTTACGTAAAACAGAGGTGGCTCTGCGTAATCAAAAGGTTGTCATTATCAAACTGCGTAGTGTAAGGTAAATAATATTGATAGACCATTGGGCCACGCTGTTGTGATACAGAAAATGAAGAAGGAAGCAAATTAATCTCGAAGAGACCAAGCCACTGAAAATCCCAGGAAACAGTACAAACTCCTGGATCCTCAGGGAAGCGAGTTGAGGAGTTTTGCCGTTTATGCTTTCAACAGAAGGGTGGTTCTGATTGTGTTCACACAAATTATACTGTGCTGGTGTTAGTTTCACACATGAACATGTGAAACGTGATATTACACATAGAAAATCTCGAACGAGATTGAGCAAACGACAGCTCTTCCTTGAGTTTAATAAATAATCATGATACTTCTACTGTCGTCGCTGAGAAGATTTGAAGCTTAGAAAGACGGAATACATAGATAATAAGCTTTTGAAATTCGATTCGTTCTTTTCGACAGAAAGTGATTCGTGAAGGTGCTTTTACTTTTTATTTGCGTTGAGCATCTGTTTCACACAGGTCAGAATATTCACACCTCATAAACGTAAAGTATGATTTTAAAAGCAGTATTGAGGGTTTGATTATTTGCAATAGTGCGAGCATATCAGAATATCACAGGAGCACAAACCGAATCACGTTTGACTATATTAGCCTGATCTGGCTTTAATATTCTCCACAAAAATTCACTGAAGTGGTCTTCTGCTCATACGAGAAATAGCTGTTGTTTTATGTCTTAGCAGTGGCATGAATCTTAGTTGAAATGTGCCATCAGATATTTAAAGGAACAGTCTCCTCGTATATGTGGTGGACGAGTTTTGCATTCTAATCCCGTCTGTTGTGTCTTACAGCCTAGCCAATAGAAGTGGATGCAAATCATCCACAGGATGTCTTCTTACACGGAATAATATTCGGAATTCTACACTAGTTGGAAATATGTGTAGTCCAAACTTCGTTGGTTCATTTCATGACGATAATACTATCATAGTTTTTGTACATTAAGAGAGATTGCTCCAGTTATGTTTGTGTCTGTGCAGTGGAATCGAAATCCATCCTGCGAAAGATTTCTGAGATTTCAAAGTTTCGTTGTGCAGACATGAGTTCACTCTTGAAGCTATCGTATAGATAGAAGAGCACATATTAATTGTGCTTCTTGACAATCCTTATCTGGAAACTGGAGAAAAAGTCACGATTTCGGAAACAGGCCTCTACACAAAATTGGATCTTCACATTTTGTGTGTCACCATAAATGAAGCATTCGGTTACGCTAGTGTGATGAATATTCCAAATGTCTGTCAGACTCCGTTCAAATGTGCACTCTAGCTGTTACATCTCAACATCCTATTATGCGATGCACATTGTCCTTCGTTTTTCGTAAGTTATATTTATAAATTAAGAAACCAGCAGAAGACTGATTTTAGATTATGATTTGGGAGATAATCAAAATCACTATGAAAGCATGAAACATTCGGAATTACTGCTCCAAGCGCTTGCACTTTCTGATCTTCTAGGTTCCAAGGAACTGTTTCCTCCCATCACTTCACGTCGACCGTATTTGCTGGATCAAGTTTTGTAGATTCACCTAACACTGGTTTGGTCGATGAGGCTGCGTTTATCTTCAGATAATCTGAAGTATTCGGTGTGAAGTTAAGGCTCTGTGTGCGATGTCGGTTGTGATGCACTAATTCAGGTATTTCGGACCACAAAGTACTCTGTTTCCGCTTTAGTAAATGTGCAGGAATCGGTTACTGTGTAACTGAAATGTGCAAGCTGAAACAGCGTGCTGTACCCAATAAACATGAGACAATTAATTGCGTTACTTAGATCAGGGTAATTGGTGCTTTTTAGTTGGAAATGTTGCGATACAGTGGAACTCCACTATCAACATCAGACCTATATCGCTCTGTCGAGTGATTCTTCGTTGAAAGGCGATTAGATGCCTCGTTTAAATTTCATGCCATCAAAGTCATCTAACGACAATGGAATAATGATTTTCTCTGATTTGTCTAAATTGAGCGCATTTATACATGGAAATTATATGTATAACAGAAAACTCTGATATAGTGTTGAATCTCGTTGGTATAGTGAACATGTAACACAAAGGAGATAGTTATGGTGTTGAAGTCAGTAGGGGATTCAGAAGTAGCAGCAATCGACATTCAAAGTTAAGAGATTGCATCCTGATTGGTGGACATGGTTTCAAGTTGTTGTCACAGATTTCAGTTTACTTACGATTTGACTATTTCACCAATTTGTCATAATAGTAGTAATGATAATATTCATAATAATAATAATGGTCTTATTATTAATAAGGGTGCAAAAGTGAGGCAAGTGAGGCAACACGAATAATGAACACTGTTTTTCATTATTCGTGTTATCACAGATTGCCTCACTTTTTCATCCTTATTATTGATAAGACCATTATTATTACTATTATTTTTATTATTATTATTATTATCATTACTACTATTATGACTAATTGCAAAATTTATATTCATCATTGTATTTCACTAATTTGTCTATTGTTCTGGTCAAGGAGAACAAACTGTGCAACAACCTGTCAAGCCTTAAAATCACTTGGTAAAATCAGACAATGTCATTCCACTGTTGTCTTCTAACCAGGTGACTCTACTATCTTCTCCATCTTTTCAGCATTTTCACGAAGAGATTTGCCATGAATGGTGTATTTCGAAGACTAATCAATACTGATTAATTTCTAGTCCTCTTTTCAGTTTGTCATACACCTAGACTATTAGAAAATGGACGCGTATCATCGGTTTATGCAGTTTATAGATCAGAAGTATGTTATATACTGAGCAATTGACAATGCTTTGTGTTTGTGTAGCTGGTGAATCAGATGTATGTTCACCATTATTCACAAACAGTGATTCACAAAGGATTCAGTGAAAAGATGTGGCTAGATGAGAAGTCCTTTTGATTCGCTGTTTTACAACACCTTTTCGTTTGTTCGATGATAAGCGAGACAAATTACAGATTTGTGAAATCTTCTTACTGAATTAATTCCAGACACATCAATGATGATCCAGTTGTATTCAACAGGTCAAGACTACAGTGGTACGACTCAAATACACGTAGACAACTCTTGCCTGAGCCACCGACACGTCCGGGACCGTCTGGACTCATTACAAGAAATGAATTAGAAAAACTGCCAGTCAGCATATACAGGGTCAAGAGGCACGAACCGACCAACAGTCATCAAGCACATGCAGCTAACTCATTTGAAAGCTCACCCAACACTTCGACGTGTATTCCGGTAATAAATAGAAATCAGAGCAGTACACCATTGTCACCGGGATCCGCTTATCTACAGCCTGAGTCGAAATCAGCTACGCTCTTCGACATTCAACCCATACAGTCGTCTCCATCGACAGGTCGGGCGGAATGTGAGATATGTCTGAGTAAGTTGAAGACAACTTTGTTATTCCGTTTAGAATAATTGAAATTGGATAAATGCATAACTGTAATTCAGCCGACTTTGCATATCTACTAAAGTAAGGTGATGCCTATTCCTATGGAGAGGCTTGAAGGCGATTAGATTGGAGTTCAATATGCACACGTTCTTGAGTTTTGACAGAATTCTCAAGTCACTTGTAGCTATTTTGTCTATTGTGTTAATTTCGTGTAGCTCAGTGAAATTATTAGTCGAAAATTCCTGTTTGACAGGCGATCCAGGTACGGTTACATAACCAACTTCCAACATCTTTGATAAAATAAGTGTAATTTCAAGGCTCAACCTCTACACAAGAAATTAGCAATTCGCAAATGAAAGACGATTTCGGGCTGATAAAAGGGATCATTTAGTCGAGAAAAGGATAATATCTAAACAGAAATTTGAAGCAGATTTCCGGACGAAACATTGGAACTAATTATTGTAATTTCACTGAGATTGATTTATACAAATATAATTCTTAAATATGTCTATTTTAATTCGGCGCCCAGTTTACGTGGAACCATTCAGTCAAATCGTGATCACAGTTCGTAGCAATTAACAACACATTGATTGTTCGCAAAATTAACTATCTCCGTGTCGAAAAAAGAAATATATATAGGCTGGTAGTGAATTCGTTTCGTAAGTTCGTTCCAAACCTGTATAGCTGGGCAGTATTCATAAAGGTCATGAAGATGCCTTTCACTGGTCAAACATGAATATCAGCTAGTAGCGAATCAACCAATTACAGTTTTCATTATGATCGTCTCTGAACAAGAATATCCCTTGATGTTTCCAGATTACATAGTAGTGATTGACCTAGTTTCACAATTTATCCAGTTATCTCTCCTGATATACTATTCGAAAAGCTTTGTTACCAACTGTTATTATAAATCGACATATCCTGTGTTTACTCTAGGTGAATGACACTTTTGCATGTAATGAATGGTTTTGACCACAGATCAATGAGGTTGATCAATTCAAGAAGCAGGATCCTGGATGCGTGGTCTCGAGCCACTAGGAACTCGCCAGCTAGATCTAACTCCATAGTCTGTAAGTGAAATCAACAGATACTACACAACACGTATTGTTTATACAGACAAAGAGTAGTTTGAAACATAAGCACTGAGGCAAGCGAAGATTCCAGCTGAGTTATGGAATACGATTAACTGATGATTGAGGGATGAAATGAATCATTTGACGCCATCGATTTTAGAATTTCATATGTTCACAAAATCTTTCGAGTTTGAAGGTTAACTGTAGTGAGAAGTGGAGATGTTTATCCCCACAGACATTTATTCAGTGTCAATATCCAGTTGACTGTGAATACTCACATTTGATGATAAGATTTCTGGGATTCCACGAGGCATTATGAGCACTCCAAAAGCCTTGATTTGTGTCATTGATATACTTGTTTCATTTTGATGTGGTACTTCCTAATAGAACTGACTACTGTATTTTACACCCAGATGAATATCAAAACAAAGATCGGCTCCGACATCTTCCTTGTGGTCACGCGTTCCACACGAAGTGCATCGACATTTGGCTGAAACAGTCGACAACATGCCCAAAATGTCGTGCTGGAATCCGTACTGCACTGGGTCGACTGGAACGTGCCCGTCTTCGACTAAGGACTCAGTCAAACAACGGAACAAGTTCGACAGCAGCATCTGTACGACCTCCTCGTCCACGACTGTGTGCTTCCACTTCAGGTGCTCAGGAACAGGTATGTTATCTCACGGCTCTGCATGGCTGAGCGTACATTTCGTGGCATCATCGTTTGTGTTTTCCCGAGCTATATGCATATATGTCTATATATAATGTTTGTCAATGAATACTTTTAGATTTGTACCGCCTAATTAGCATATGATGAATCGTAGACATTGTCGTCTGTCGACTATTATGAGAAAAACAATACAGACATGAAGTGGAACATTACTCACTAGAAAAACCTTATGATTAGGTGTCGATAGATTGTTGAAGTACATGCGTAAATTAACTGTTGATTTTCTAACGAGGATTGTTTATTTTAATGCAATTGACAGAATCGTACAACGACCTCAGGACAGAGTTCAACCATCACAAGTACTTCCACTACTGCCAATTCTACTAATCGAAGCCAAATGACAACTCGTAATACTGTTGGTCCGAGTTCCTCTGACACGTCGACCAGTCGTAGTCTTCGTCAACGAGTTAAACCTTCTTATTCTCCATGCACAACCTCCGCTACCACCAATACCATCACTAACACCACAACTGCTACAACGACATCAGCTACCAGTACTGTTGCTGCGACAGTTTCTTCTACTAGTTATCATACAAATACTCCAGCTAATAGACGAAATCAAAGGGATGTATCGAATCAACTTCCGTTCAGCCAACCACTGCATCGCATACACCAGAAATTGTTCCGTCTCAAGACACTGGGAGTAATCAAATTCAGTTGACATCCAATCAATACAATCCACAAGTGAACACGAAACGTTGTGAAAGAGTTAATGAGGTTTGTTCAACAGCTTCTATTTCTAATTTCATTGTTACTGCCTCAGTTTTGTGTGGAACGTAGGGCTTCGAATTACCATCTCCACAACACACAGTTGTCTTCAGTTCTCCGTCATCTCAGGCTCTCGATGCATGTAGTCTGTTTGTAGTGCACATACACACAAGTCGACGATGTAGTTATTCACCTCTACCCACCACGTTAACACGGTGGTCTTCAAAATTCTGACTACAGATATCAGGAAATGCTTTTGACAGTTCTTGTAGGCCTAGTGAAATGTTTAAGTTGTAGGACAAAACAACAAAACGGTGTCAAAGAAAGCAGACAGCGGGAAATAACACATATGAGAGAGGATATATCGCTTAATAACTACCCGAATTGATTGATCAGGAGTCATGTAGGAAAGGGCGGAAATAAAGATAACGCGAACAATAAGGACGACAAGAGTGACGAACACACACAGCAAGATGACAACACCAAAAATACGGACTATAAAACATAGATATTGTTCTCACACGAAGAGGGAAAGTCTGAGACACTGACTAGTATTCCTAGCAAGGTGGCGATAAAAGTGACATTCAACCTAACAAATCTCACATAAAACAAATTGTCCCAGTTAAAATATACCGTCGGCCCTATGAGACAAATTAATCTAGTCTATATAATACAGTGAGGAGTCAGTTACTTTGGCGCTGTCAGAAATCGTAGCCGTATGCGAACGAGTAGATCGTGACAAGATAAGAAATCTAGACAGAATTTCGAACAGCGTGCAGTTACACACAAGCATATGATAAGATGCAACAAGGTGACAGTCGTCAAATCAAATGTAATGGAGTGAAGAGTGAGGGATTGATAACCGTAGATTAATTAGTCTATTCAGACCAGAATAAGCGCGATAGTAGTGATTCCAAAGCTGTTTCGAACATCTTCAAAATTCTACCACCCGTATGATAAATACAGAGGAATCAAGAGAACTATAAAAATCGAGTCTGAAGGTTGTGTGGCTACTAGTGATTGAATACGAACGATAATTTGTGTTCGAAATATCTGACAGTGTTGTCTAGAAGGATAACGAAAGCACTGCGTTTCAGACAACCAGCTCAGAGGATCCAACCACATGAAAGTCCCATCCAGTAAACGATGATTTTCCACTGTGTCTGTGTGATACAGACTAATTAATACGCAGTCACATACTACCACAATGTCTAAGTTTCACACATCTATCAATCACACACTGTAAAATATGACTAACAGACTGAGAGTGAAGTCGTGAAGAACGCTGTAAATATTCCATGTGTCTGACTATAAAATGTAGTCTCCCTAGAACGGTGATGTTTTGAAGTCATGCGCTAGAACTCAGAAATCAGAGAAGACATAAAATCTATTATCGAGAAAATAGACAGCTCTCAGTGTCTGCGTCTGAATAGAGGTAGAACCTTATTGACAAGCCTATCGAGAATAAGAAATTAGTGTGTGAAACAGAAAATATTTAGAGTAATTCACCACTGAAGTGAAATTGAAGTTGTTTTCTGAAGTAATCTCTGATTCTTTTTCTCTTCAGTCGACGACCGCTCGACAGAAGGCTGTGGAAGCAGCTCTGAGACGAGAAGCAGAGTTCCGCCGGAGACAACTGAATGAAGTGGATGGGACGTTGAATTAACTGCCGCGAAAGCAACACACAGATCAGTACGTCTTGGTGTTCTCTTTCGGAATACAACTAATGAAGAAGTAGTGAATTCTGCAGACTCAATAAATGCGCTTCATATTTCTCATATACTCATTGCCAGTATGAAGTAGTTGTTCTTCTTCAAAGTTATATATTTCTTATTTAGAGCACATTTTGTCTTTATTATTTTCATTGTTATTTCTAATACCTTACAGAATGTTGACTCCTCTTTCATGTTCTTCTCATTCTTCTTCTTCTTCTCATTGGTATGTACCTTCATTCGCTTACTTCTAGTGCCATTGTACTTCGACACTGTCCCACTTGACAGTCATTCAGCATTCACTCTCGACAATGCCATAACAATTATGTCTACTAAGGTGTTGGTGAGAAACGACTGTAACCGCCTAATTTATATCAGAAATCGATAATTTATTTTCAATGAAGAAACATCATAAGATCCTGTGAAAGACTGTTTGTTCTGTTGTGTTCACCACATCAATTTCAAAATGTAATTTTTGAGAATGAAATCTTTTGAACATGTTTTGCATTCAATCTACATGTGTGTATTTTGCATAGAAATCGACGCCTGTCAACCTGATAGAAGTGTTGATACGGATAATGACAACATTGATGCAAAAGTTTGTTTATGTTCAAACGTTTTTTCTTGTTTCATTTGAGTTTACAAGTTTGTTGTTACTGTCTGCTTCACTAGCTCACCTATATCAATGCACGTATATATACATGTAGAGCAACATGTAGGTCGAATATACAGATTCCTGCTCACGTTTATTTATTTTCATTGGAATATTGATCAGGGGTTAGAGAAGACTTCATTGAATGATGAGCGAGTCTATGATGGTGAAGGTTGTTCTGACTGGAAGAACGTAAGAAACAGTTGTGTAGGTAGGTAATAATGGGGACGTATCCTTTCGAAACCAGCATCCCACCTGACGTACACAAAGTCTGACTGGTCGATGATAACCAGAAATGCTTCCTGAGAGTTATACGCAACAGATTTATTTAGGCACACACTTCTTAAGACTTGTAATCACCATGTTGCGATGACTGCCCCTATATGACGTATATTCCACGCAGTTGTTATTCGTCCGTGTTATTCCCTGGATGTCGATCAGCAAACAGTGACTGGTTGTGATGAAAAATTCACGGACTACTAAACTTCATGGCGAACGACATCTCTAAATTACTTAGACAATTCTCATTAAGTCTGACTATACACCGAAATCGAGGACTGCAGAGACATAAACACTGAGTGTTGTTGCATAGGGATAATCTACGTATCAACATATCCTAGAACTGAATATCAGCAAATTTGAGGTCTTCTCAGTCTAAGTTGTATCAGTCAGTGTTCCCTACATGAATAGTCTACAACATTCAGAATATATTCACAACGATAAATCATCTGAATGTTCCAGTGCATGATATTGAGAGGAGACGAAATGGTTCCTTGAATTGGTAGTTTCGGAAGACATCTTATCATCCACATCAGGAAATACATGGCTATCAGTTAAGCAATACTCTGCCTGTAGGCAGTGTTTCCGAGGTACAGTCAAGGTGGTGAATATCAACAGTGACAAGCGGATGGAACATTTAGTGAGGACATGGAGAAATGGAACTTCACTCTGTGCTAACTGTGACTAATAATTAGGCTGACAGACAACGAATCCACCCTATCGTTTCTAAAACACTTACTATGTTGGAAATCAGAATTATGTTATAATAATAAATGATGTAATCTCATCTGTGTGAATACGAATTCCCCCTGGCCTCAACGTGTATTTCTCATTAGACAAGGGTGTTGGTGGAATTAGTTAGTTAGAACGCAGTTACTTGAAAGCAGAACTTTCATGTGCAATGTGCGATGATATTTCCCAGTTGCCCAATATGAAGTAGACAGAACGCATCTCAAACTGTGGACCAACCCATCGGGGTCATGAACTAGGGATTATCCACGCAAATATATAAATACGTATGATACATGTGTTTGTAATGACAACTATTCGACTGCTGACCTCATCAGAAGATATAACAGCTATCAGTCACCTGTGATCCCCATTGCTGAAGAAAAGTGACATTTCACTTATTCGATTTTATACAAGAGGATGATTCATTGGAAAAGGTCGATTGACTGAAGGCAAACCTCCATAGGCCATTGCACCGAATTCAAACATGACATTCTGTTTCTCTGGATACGCTCGACAAAGAACTGGAAAACCTTCGTCCAATATTCTCCTAGAAGGCTCATTGAGAGGAGTATTAGTGGCGAAATAGCTCCTAGTCAAATCAAAGTGCCAAAGAAGAGTACGTCATTCAAAAATGACATCATTACTGCAGTGATCAAAAGTTGTCTATCCAAGTGTATTGAGTGCTCTTTATGCGCTACTTACTCACACCTAGTATTCTCCAGTCGAAGTATGATTCGACAGTGCGCCATGAATAAACTACCGCTCACGTCCACTTCTACATCCAGCTACTCTTTCACACACTCCTGTGGAATTGACTACATTGGATGTTGTGGGCATGTTCTCTGGAAACACTACGCGGTTCGGTTAGTGAGATTAGGATGACGAGGTTTTCCATTAGTGAACACCAATCCGAGTCAGATCATTCGGTCCCACATGATTTATAGTTCAATATTATTGTCAAATGTTCAGGTCGCTGAGATTCTGCGCCTATCGCTGGTTTCAGAAGACTAAGCCTAATACGCAGAGCACTATGTATGCACTGTAACCGACACAAAACAAGAGAAAACGGTTCGATAACATGACTGCTTTTTCTTCAAACGATAATGAAACACATTTGCAATCGTTGATCAGTGACGAAGACTGTAAATAAATGTCAATATAATAATGTACAACAATACTTCTGATCGTATTTCTCCTATCTTCTGCCAACCACTACACAATTAGGCAAATGACAGCCAATATGTAGAGCAGTTCAACAAGCAAACGATTCAACATTCAGCAGTATTGACAGATATCTACGCGGCTAAGTTCAATCATCCTAAAAGATCACGTTTTACTCACTTGATGAGGAATTCATCTGTGAAACTCACATATCACAAATCGAATATGTCTACATTTCCGTGACGATCAGTACGATTAGTTAGATACGCCAGGTGTGAACAAAATACACAATAGACAGTCTCCCTGTATAATTTGAAAAATTCATCTATGGTTATTGGTTTGAAAGAAATGTTGTCTAAGTAGACACACCACAAGAATAAAATGGAATAAATTAGATCTATTCTGCAAGGCGTTCAAAGTGAATGCAGGAGTCTGTTATGGCTCCCTGTTGTCGCCGATGATATTCTTGATTATGCTGGACAGTACTATGCCTCATCCTTTTCACAAGGAGCGGGAAAACACGAATGTTTTAGACTGATTATCAGAGTCTAAGTGTTCTGCATTTCGCGCATGACTTATTGTTTAGTTTCACACAAATTTGAAGACTTGCAGGTGAAAACCCACAAAAATGGTTGAAGAAGCAGCCTGCGAGGACAGGACGCCAGGGGAATACGGAGAAGATGGAGGTGATGAAGATAATCATCCAATAGCAACAGTAACAGCAACCAGGGTCTGTCACCACTAATGGGAGCGATATGACGAAAGTTACAAACTTCATTTATCTAGGAGGTACGGTTTCGACCACAGTCGGGACGGAGAAAGATGTCAAAGGCAGCCAGAATCGGAAAGATGAGATACATTTTTATCAATCTGAAACCAGTTTGGAAATTATCTGCACTAAGTGAGCATAAAGAACAAGTTTCGGATTTTCAACACATGTGAATTTAGTCATTCAGTCTGTACGTGTCAGAAACTTGTACTAGGCTTCACGTAAAGTATTTCCTGCAAGTTACAGACTTTTATCAACAGCTGCCTTCTCTGGCTCCATACTGAAAGTGAAGTGGCCGATGAAAACAATTTGCAACAAGAAACTCTGGCTGTGAACAAGCCAACCAAGAGCCGAACGCTCAACAAAAATGTGGGAGAAAATAGAGATGGATCGGGCACACGTTCAGGTTGCCGTCGAATAACATCGCGCGCACTGCTCGACTGGAATCCCAATGGGAATTGACGAGTGGGTTGTCGGTGCGAGAGTTACATGGAGGAAGTCGTACAAGGAGGAGATGAACGAATATAGGCAATCGTGGACCTAGCAGAAGAGGACAGAAGAAAGCGGAGATGCTTTACGGAAGACTTATATTACACTTGGAACCCAAGGGAATAATAATGATATAATAAAATAGTCAAGACAAACTGATCCTCATAGAAGATGTCATGGTCATGAAAGCAAGAAGAAGCAAATTTACAAAATAAAATGTGGACATTTTATTTCCAGGCTTATCTTGAGCTGCAAACAGCTTAAAATAAAAAGTATCATTGAAATAATCACATGCATTGATATTCCTTTTTTTATTCCTTTACATTCCCCAGTGGAACATGGGACTTCGAGCTTTTAGCTTTGCAGTTCCATTGGCAGGGGCGTCTTTTTTTAACGGGGTGGCGTTGCTAGCTTCACGGCCAACCTCCCCTCTTTGTCAGAATTATAACTGGCTAAGGGAAGTAAAGGTATGAGCCACTGTGCCACCGAAGCCCACTGATATTCTACTCAGCTGAATTTAGCATAAAAACTGAATATTCTCCTAAATTTTGTAATAGAGTTCTAGTTTGTTGTCATATCGGTTGTAGTGATTTCGTCAGCACATTGCCGTCACAGTTACTTCTGTATATTACAGTCGTTATGCTTAATTTATGCTGAATACAGTAAAATCGATGAGTTCTGATTTTGAAAAAGAGGAGACGTTCAGCGAAGAGACTCTTTTCGGCGAATTCATTCACATAGCTGTACAATCGCATTTATATATAATTATTTGTGTGTGTGTGTGTACATGAGGTTTGTTAAAATTAGATAATTGATCAGGTAATAAAAGAATGATCTAATATAGAAACAGGGTTAATTGGACAGAAACTAAAGTAAGATTGAGTTAGTAAGTTAGATGACGTAATATAATAGACTAAAATGTTTTAACTTAGGACAGGTTAGCAACAGAGGTAATTACAGGTAGAGACTAAGTAGAAGTGGGGTAGATAATAATGCCATTTAAATCAGAACTGAAATTGAGCAATTAAGTTGGATGACGTAACATAAATGACTAGAAATTGAGCGTTGGTCAGGTAAATTAAAGTGGTAGTGAGGTGTAGAAATTAAATCGGGTGGGGGTTGAGACCAAGAAAGTTGAAAGTGCAAAATATTACAATTAAGAAGACAGAATAATACCAATGAAGAGACAGAAGAAAAGGAAAAAAAATTAGGTAGAATTTACTTTTCAGGTAATAAGGTAGGTTAAGTCCATTGTAAGTGTAGTGATTGAACGAACTTCTTCTGTATGCAGAGTTCAGGGCTTAGCAAGTGAATCGCCATCGCTTCTGCAGTTTGAAGAAGTCGGATTCGTACACCTTTTGGGAGACTACTTCTTACTCTGTAGACTACTTTGAAGTTTGTTTGGGGTGCAGCTTGGTGTCCGGATTCTATCAGATGTTCTAAGATGGAGCTGCGAGGACATCGTTTTTCTCCTTTGTAAAACCATGCTGGTAAGTGTTCGGTGATACGCTTGGAAAGCGAACGCTGGGTACGGCCAACATACCTGGCTCCAAACGAGCAGGTGAATTGATAAATACACATTGATGAGGCCAACAGTGGTAGCTTATCCTTCACGTTCACATGAATCATAGGTTTTGTGGAGAAAGTT